TCAAATTTGTCAAGTCTGAGGTGCTCATTTTTTTTTAATAAAGCCCAGATTTCGGCGTCCTTTAGATTTCACTTGCTCAAAATGCTTCTTAAATGTTAGTTCACAGTCAAATAACACGCCAAGATCGTTGATTTCAGAAACTTTGCCAACTGCAATGCCATCGAAAAAGTAGGATCCCCTTTCTACCATTATCAATAGAAAAATTCTTGTTTTCTCTGCGTATTCTTCTTGTTTTTCATCGTGTATGCGTACTATTTTGTCGGCCCCTCTCACTAATTTTCTATGCATAATTTTCACTGCTGTTGTCTCAGTTTTCCCTCCAGTTTTCTCTGTCTATTTATCTTCGGTTGTCTGTGCATATTCTTTCCAATATTCACTGTGTATTGTCTCTTTTTTCACTGTACTTTTACTGTGTTTTTTGTGCACATTGTCGCTTGTTTTGTTAGTTGCGTACTCTTCTTGTTTTTTCCGCCTATCTTTGTTGTATTTCTCATCGTAGTCTCACTGGTTTTGTCTGCTTGTCGCCAATTTTTTATCTACTTATTCTTGCTAGTTTTGTTTTCTTACTTACGCAGGTTTGTTTTGACATTTTACCGTTTTCTCTTCGTTAAATCTGTCAATTTTTACAGGTTTTGTCTGGCTTATGCTATTGACGTTTTATTGCTATTGTTGCTGGTTTTGTCTCAGTTTTCTCTGCATATTCTTGTAGGATTTCTCAGCGTATTCTCGCTGATATTCTATGCTTATTGTCGTGTTTTGTCTGCGTATCCCATTAACCTTATCTTTTATTCTCGCTGGTTTTCTCTGCGTATTCTTAGGGTATTTTGTGCGTATAATTTCCAGTTTTCTGTGCGTATTCTCGCTGGTTTTACTTGCGTACTTCTCGACGGCTTTGTCTGTCACACACGCTTGTTTTCTTTGCGTATTCTTCCTGTTTTCACTACGTGCTATGACTGGTTTTCTTTGTCATTCTCGCTTATTTTCTCTGCGTAATTCTCCGATTTTGTGTGCGTATTCCCTCCAGTTACTGTGTTCCACCTTGTTACTGTGTTCACTGCGTATTCTCGCTGGTTTTGTCTGCATAATATCATTTTTTCATGTTTATTCTTGCTAGTTTTGATTTCCTATTTTGTCAGGTTTTGTCTTTCATTTTAGCCTCGTTTCGTCTGCCTATTTTTATTGGTTTTGTCTGTTTATTCTAGCTCATTTTGCATGCCTTTTGTTGCTGATTTTTTTGCCTGTTTATTTTTGCTGGTTTTGTCTCTGCATTCTCTCTAGTTTTCTCTGCGTTCGCTTGGATTTCTCGGCGTATTCTCGCTTGACTTTTCTTTTGTGTGTGAAACTTGCTAGTTATCTGTGCGTATTATTATAAACCCAACAGCACCATTAGAAAGGTTTGTTAATCAGCCAAGTGTTACAGACACATCCAGCAAGTGTAAGCAGAAAAAAGCAGCGAGAATACGCAAAGAAAACTGATGAGAATTCACGCATGATTTACAAATCGAAAGTTCTGCCCTCTTCATAACACTATTAAGCTTTTTTTACATTCCACATCAAATTAGAATATTAGATAACTAGATGAGAGTTCATGTTTTATTTATTTATTGTTTTGCAGTTTAGCATGTCCAATGGTACATTTCATTACGAGATGCGTTCTTGTTATTCACTACCGTGTTTGTTATGGCACGGAATCATACTGAAATTAATGACATAATCAGTCAAATATTCTTCCTTTTCTCATAAAAGGATTTCGAATGACCAGCAAAAATGTCAACTTATTTCGATCTAGTTGACTGCTGGGAATATACATCAGCCCCCATTACAAAGAACTGTTAAAACCCCGCTCAAAGAGGAATCGATAGTGATATTTCAACCGGAAAAAGGTTGAAAGGGGGTTCTGAAATTCACCTTCGCCAAAGAAGTGCAGTCCTGGCTCTGCAGAGTCAAACACAATTGGTAATTAAACACGTCCTGAAGCGTCGTCATGTGCAGCTTTGATGACGACCTTGGTTTAACAACGGTTTTTGATAATTTTTATTAAGCCGGGGATCCGGGCCCGCTCAGATGAACGCAACAACAAAGTTACAATCTGGACAAAACTTCAATCTTTTACCTATTTTTTTTTTTTTTTTTTTTGGCTCAATTATTCGACCTAAAACTTTCCTCCTGCTCTTTTCCTCGATTCTGATTCATTTTTACAATATTTTGGAAAGGATTTGGTGGCAGTTTATTTTAGAATTTCTTTTTAACGACATTTAACTCTTTGGGCTATCAACGTTCAGCCGTTATTTCCGCAAGATTGTTTACAAATATTGCATTTACAAACCGCTTTATATTTTAAAGGAGAAAATTAAATATTTAATTCTACAAACAAAATGCTCAAATATTGAAAAAAAGAGCTTGGTTTGTATAAATACTGCTAATTTTTCAGTCAGTTTCAAAGACCAAATTGCTTTCAAGATTATTTGTAACAAATAGTAAATTCAAAACTGTGCTGCGGAAGTTTTCCAATCTTGGCAATGCCTGCAATTCGGCTGTTATTGACTCGATTGGATGGACATGGATACATAATTGGCTATTCTATAAAATAATTGAATACATACACAAACGAGAAAAGTGAGAACAAAGAGAGACAGAGAAGAAAAGACCGTCGAAACGAGTAAGGATAGGCCAAGAAAACCAACGAAAAAAGGCGGACAAAAACAGAAAAAAAGAGGCAGGCTGATAAAAACAAACAACAAGGCAGAGACAAAACAAGCTAGAATGACAGACATGATGCTTTCTCATCCGCGCAAAGAAAACATGCTAGAATGTCAGACAATACCAGAAATGATAAGCAGAGAAGATCAGCAAGTGTAACAAACAAAACCAGCGAGAATACGCTGATAAATCAACAAGAATAAGCCCTGAAAAACAGGAAGAATACGATGACAAAACTAGCTGCAGAAAAACTAGCAACAATAAGCAGAGAAAAAGGAGAAAAAGAGCAAGTGGAACTGAGAAAACCAGCGAGAATACCCAAGAAAAACCAGCCAGAATACGGACAGATAACCAGCAAGTATGTCGGACACCGAATTTTATTTTTTACATTAGGTCAACTCGAACATTTTCCTATTTGTTTTAATAATCGTTTTGTAATTAATAATATTAATAATTGTAGAAAACACACAGAAAACAAGCGAGAACATGTAGTGAAAAATGGGAAGTATGCGCAAAAAAAGTCAGCGAGAATACGCACAGAAAACTGCAGAATTACGCTGTGAAAATAAGTGAGAATAACAGACAAAACCAGTGAGAAACGAAATAGTGAAAAATAGAAAGAAAGTTGAGTTTGGGTGATTTCGTATAAATAAACTGCTCAGAAATGAATAGGGATATTTGCAATTTATCTTATTGTGTTAATTTTAATTAAATTAACCGTTATATTCTTGTTAGTTGGATAAAACAAAATAGAAAATACAAACAAATGTTAATCCACATTTTTAATAACGGTTTTACTTAAGAAACATTAAGATAACACATTTTATAAACAAACACCTTTCTCGTTTTTTCTCCATTTTTGATCCAGTTGTATTCTCATTAATACTACTTTAACCATGGAAAGACCACCTTGAATTGAGAATGAGTCATCGAATGAGGCAAGTGAATATCTCAGAGGCAGTTGGCGTTTCTCAGATCGTGGTCTCCCGGGCTTTAGCCAGCCAGATTCCGGGAGACTGGAAGTGCAAAAAGGAGGCCTGATAGTGGATCTCAGCGCTTTATGATGCAAGGGAGGAAAGAAATATCATCATTGCTGCAAGATGAAACCCATAGTGCCCGCCGAATCCTAATGAGGTACAAGATGTTTTTTACATTTAACATTCTGATATGTTTACTGATGAGTCGCGTTCCTGTCTGTAAGGACAGCGACAGCCCACCACCAGCCCAGAAGAGAATACCAATTGGAATGCTGTTATGTTCTTGATGAGTCGCTTTTCTGTCTGAATAGTGACAGCAGGCGCCGATGAGTCTACCGAGAACAGGGAATGCGTATAATGCGCCAGATCGTGTTTCCTTCAGTGCAGTTTGAAGGAGGCGGTGTACTGGCTGGGCGGGGTTTACACTGGAAGACGGAATGTCGCTGTCCGTTATGTCCAAGAAATTACTGAGGAAAACTCTCTCAAACCAGGGATCACATTGGCAGAGATTTTCGATTTCTAGATGATGCCAGACTTTATAGAAGCAGAGTTGTTCATCAATATTTAGAAAAGCTGAGAATTCCCCATCTGCCCCTTTCCCCATTGTCTCCTTACCTCAAAGCCATTGTCATTGAACACATGTGAGATGCGTTGCAGAGAAGGTTCGATCACCATCCGCAGCCAGTTGACCTGCAACAACTGAGTGCAGCATTGCAACATCTATAGAGAGAAATTCCTTATGAAATTAGTAATTACAAACTATTAACAATATGTCTAACAAGTGCACAGAGGATTTAGCTAACAGAGGGTATTAAACACGGTATTAATTGTTTAAAATTATTATTGTGCCCTATAAACAAAATTACGGAAATATGAACCTTTTATTTTATTTTTTTAATCCGTTAATTAAATTTTACAATAAAAACTAAGTAATTTCTAATAAATTTGAATGTAATTTATAATAAAAATAAAATAAAAATGTTAGGGATAGTAAATATTACAAAATTGGCAATGCTTTTATTCGTTTTTAAGCAGTTTATATAAATGTGTATATGTACGGCGGGCGGAACCGTAAAAGGATATTTGAATTTCCCGCTTCTTTTGTTACATGTTTCGGAGGGGCGCCACCGAATTTTCTTTTTCACCCTTGATCGACTCAAATATTTTCCTGTTTTTCTTAATAATCCTTTTGTAATTAATAATTGTAGACATAGAAAAGGCGTAGAATTAGAAATAGAGAAGGACAAATTTGGCGAGAGACGATAGCAGTGGGGGCGCGGGGAAATTTTGCGTGGACAGGGCGGCGGATCATTTGTGAGTCGCGATCAAGTCCTCACCGGATCTGCAGACCGAAGGGAGCCATCATCGGAGTCAATCAGTCAATTTGTTTAAAGCGGTTTTCTTGTCGGATTCTGGGTCCCGGTATCGCTCCGAGTCTCGAATTTAATGTGAACCGTCGTCGGCTCGGCTGAGACCCTTTTATGTAGTTGGTAGTCGATCGGGAGACGAGTTGTTTTTTTTTATTTGACCCTCGCCGTCGGACCGAGAGCGGAGGAAACGATCAAGAGAAAGAGAGAAAAGACGAAGATCCAGCTCGGAAACGGTTCGAATCGGCTTCACGGGCACGATCTCATCCGGCGTCGAGCCTCAAACCTTATCTCAGCATCTGTAAGGTGAGAAATCCCCCCCGAGATGAACCGCCAGGCCGGCAACAAAATCAACGTTCCCGAAGACTTCCGTAGCATATTGTTGGAGTTCACTGTCAATTTCCTCCTCGAACAGCCGACCGACGTTATCGAGTTCGCCATACAACATTTTAACCAGTTGAAAATCAAAAGAGACCAGAGCACTGCCCTCAAACCGACGTCCCAAGACGAAAGCGCTTCCACAGACGACGAAGGTAATGCCAAACTTATTTATCACTAACTCTCACAGTATTTAAAAAAAAAGAAAATACAGTGGAGAAACCGGGCATTCCTGTATTTGATTTTCCCAAGTTTGTAATTTTTGTTCTTTTGTTTTTTTACTTTAATAAAGACCCGGTAAAATGAGAATAAGAAAGTAGGATCGACCGAGAGCCGGTTCCTCTTACATAAAGTCCGATAAGATCTTAATCTTTAGTGCGTCGTGGACGGAAAAGTGACAGATCTGGGCCGAGAGAGAAACTTCGCCCTCGTCCTCTCTGCTCTCAGAACTTTTTCCACCCTTTCAGACACAGGTGGTCGTTTTAATATTTTATCAGTTTATTTATTTTTTAAATTAAAATAGACCCTGTGTGAAAAAAAGGGCCGCTACGTAAATGAAACCGGAAGGGAAGGGCGAGCGGGACCGTTATTCCGGTCAGACCGTACTCCAGGGATAAGGGCGCCCATTCATAACTCCTTCCGTCAATAACATTCAAATCCGACCTAGTCCGGACACTCGCCTACCATCTAAAAAGCCCCGTTGAATCGACAATAACTAATTTAAAAAAATTATTTATTCCCCGTAGAATAATATTGCGTCTTTGGTGATTGAAACTTCGTCTCGGCTGCCGGACGAAAGGGCGAATCCCTTTCTACGGACGGGAGAGAGTGAAAGTACTCGAGGGATAAAGGCGCCCATTCATAACTTATTTCATCAATAAAACAGTTTTCACGCTTCCAATATTTCCTCTCGAACAAATTGACTTAACGTTTTCCCTCTATTTCACAGCATAAAAATAATTGTACAAAAATGATGGTGGAAATTTAGTCAAAATGATCGGAAACGACCGAGCTACAAATTTCGAACGTATTTCATCCAATGCCTTCTATATATGTTTATGATCATGGCATTCCTTGATTTGGTCATGATTGTAATAAAATTTAGCTGGTATTGAAACTCAGGTGCATCTTTCCTCAAATTTTCCAACAGGTATTTTCACGTTGCGAGGGCCATGTACTCTCTAATCTTCTGATTTAACCCTGGTGTCGCGCTAGGTTGTATCCTAGATCCTATCCTCTTCTCAATAGACACCCAAGATATCTTTGCGTTACATCCAACAGTTACATCTAATTTTGCTGTCAGCTATCTTTTCTCTTCATTCTGATATGTCCTCTCTTAAAGAAACCTTAAATACCATTCCTTGGAGCAATTGATATAAAAAGTGGAAGACAATCGTCCTCATGACCAACTGTAACGATGTGACTTCGTTTTTTCCTTATATAATCTAACCAAAGATTATCAGTCAGTCACAATATGTCAAAAACCTAGGAAGGAAGACCAAAATGAACGGAAACGACCAAGCTACAAATTTCGAACGTATTCATCCAATGCCTTCTATATATGTCTATGATCATTGCATTCCTTGATTTGGTCGTGGTTGCAATAAAGTATGACTGCTATTAAAACTCAGGTGCATCTTTCCCATCATCGTCCGTAAATTTTTCAACAGCTATTTCACGTTATTCTAACCTTCTCAGTTAAGCCTGGTGTCGCACAAGGTTGTTTCCTTGATCCTATCCTCTTCTCAAGAGACTCCCAAGATACCCTTGCGTAACATCCAACAGTTACAACTACTTTTGCTGTCAGCTATCTTTTCTCTACATTCTGATTTGTTATCTCTTAAAGAAATCTTCAAAACCATTCCTTGGTGGAGTAATGATGACTGTTATCAAGTACCAGTTCATCCTTTCAAATACCTACTATCTTATCCTCAAATTTTCCAACATATATTTTCTGGTTTATGAGGAACATACACTCTAATTTACTCAGTTAATATTGTAAGGTTGTATCATGTATAGATTACAATAGTTCATACTCACTTTACACCCATGGTATCCCCACATAAACTTCCACAGTTACATCCTTTCCTACTTTTGATCCTGAAATCTTCCACAGAAACCTTCAAACCCTTCCTCCAGACATTTCTTGAAGGTTTAATTCTCTGACTTCTAACAGTTGACTAGTCTTCTAGCTAAATTCAGTTTGATATTCAGCATTAACCTGATCAACTTATGCCTACAGCTCTATTTCTTTCCTAAACTCTTTAATAACTCCTAAACTCAGTAATCTCTGCTTAAGCACGTTGGGTCGATTTCAATTAAACTCTTTTTCGAGATAATAGGTTGAAAAATATTCTTCCCAGCGTTCTTGCCCATAGATTTACAAAAAGTAATTAAATAATTATTTTGTGTCCGAGCGACGTAGTAAAATAGGTTCAAATATTTTTTTGCCAAAAGCAAGGTTGATATTCGTTTTTCCATCCCAAAAGGCCCCTGTATGCAATTTTTATGAAAATAAAAAAAATTATAAAAACTATATTATCTTCTCGTGATATTGTTGTTGCTATTCTATTCTACAGGTGGTTGTTAAAATTTATTTTTTATCTTGACCCATGGTATTCCACAGACAGAGACAACCAAAATCACTTTATGAAAAGTCTGTCGAATAGCGTGTGTTAAGGTAAAAAATAAAAAATAATATTTTTGGTCAAATTTTTCGCGTTAACAGATGATTTTTTTTCGAAAATCACAAAAATGGCAGTAACTTTAAAGCAATCTACTGATTCTCAGGAAACTTTACATGCATTTACGATCTTATAACGCAAATATGATGGCACAGACCTAGCTGCAGTAAGTCAATCAGAACTGTAGATCTAAAATAATTTTCAGGCGTTTTTGTCATCATCCTTATTTTTCTCACTTATAATCATATCTATCTCATATATCAAATCTAAACATTTTTGATATAGGCTGAAAGTAGAAAGAAATTACTAGAAATAAAAAGTTTGAGGAGATTTTGATCATTTTATTTTTTTTCCTTGCTTATAATATAATTCAAAACCTGCTGAAAAGAGCTTGTAGTATAAAGATTCGGCTTTCTAACGGTTGTAATAAAGTTGGATTTGGATAAAATTCAAAGGAGTTATTAGTTTTTAAGTGGAACAATGGACATCGGAGACAAAAAAAAGGGCTGAACGAGCCCAAACATGCCTATTTTTTTGGTTTCCGTAAAAGTTCGTTTTTAAGGGCTTTAAAGCGTGCTTAAAAATAATCTCAGTAGTTATTTTTAAAAAAAACCCTACTTTACTGAAAGCATCTTTTGGTTTATGTAACTTTTTATTTATCTAGTCCTATTTCATACGATTTTTATTTGAGCATTTTGAAATACATGCACAACAAAGGCAGAGAAATATATTTTTCTAGGCTCATTGTGCCCGTTGGCAAGAAAGTTCAGTCATGTGCCCAATACTTTTCGGCCTAGTATCAAAAATAAAAACCCGAACTTTTTAAAGATCCGGGGCTTGGAAATAATTAAATAAATCGTAAAGCCCTTTTTGTGCTCTTCCAGGGTCGATCTGCCCACAGAAAGGGCGTCGACAATTTCACCATATCGAAAGGTAAACGTAACTAGAATTAGATCGATTTTCCAATAAATTCCAACAGTTTTCCCTTAGGATCGATGATGAAAACTATTCTTCCAATTGATTGTCAATAGACGCAAAACGGAGTGTTGATTTTTTTTTAAGTCGCAATTTAGAAGTTAAATTATATTTGGTATTTTACACATTGATGGATTTACGTAGATAGCCAATTAAATAATCCTAGAATAGTAAATAATTTTTTTTAAATTATTGTGTTACGTGTCATTATGTTGTATTAGAATATTGGTATGAAATATTTGTTATTCGCCTAATAATGTGTAAACTGCGGAACTGCTAATTGATATGGAGAAGGAATTACTGCTGTGCACGTAGGAATTCTCCGTCTCATGTTTCTTGATTTATTATTTACCTCATGTCAATAATAGCTTAGTGTTCCCAGCAGAAATTAAATGGTATTAATTTCTCTCGATGTTCACTTCAATTTGATGAACAACTTCAAAGGGTTGTTATGGCTTTGTCTCGAGAATTTTGATCCGATTACATTGTGTGTAATAGAATGCGGTTTTTTAAAAAAAATTAGAAATACATGAAAACATTTCTCTTGTATTGATTTAATTAAGGGCTGACCATTTTGAAAATGGATTACGCAAGCAATCCAAGGTTACACTTGATAGTAGAACACTATACTTACCATTCAAGATCTAAAGATGAAAATTTCAAGTTTTTTTAAAATTATTATTGTCGCCAGAAATTAACGTATTAATTTGTTTAAATAACCGAAAATTTTATGTATATGATATATTATTTCACAATATAATGATACAGATTAAAAAGCGAATGAATTTATACCAGAATGATTAATCGTTAGGTAATCGATCGTCCCAACTTCATTAAAATGTCATTATTAAAAAATACAAATGTAATAAATGGGGTGATAATGGCGATGGTGATTAATTTTAATTAAAAAGATTAATACTTGGCATTCGTTCATTATTATGCGTTTATTGATATACGTTTTTTCCTCCCGTTATGAGAAAAAAGCCATTGGTGTCACCTAATCGACGTTTTGGGTGGAAAAGTGTCGAGAGGTCTTTGTTGACAAAAGGAATGTTGAGGTAGTTGAAAATAGTGAAATTTATGCGTATTAAGGAGCTTTTCCTGAGAACTTTTGATTAGAAGGATGCACTGGGTATTGTGTGGTATGGGGAAAGACCGCAGTTCCAATAGGGATGTCAAAATACATTGCACTATGGCCAGCACTGCAGCTGGAGGACACATTATAAGAAATCAGCAATGGTGCCACTCCGTGGTATTGCCATGTAGTTCTCGAGGCCATCCTCAAGATGAAAAAGTGTAGGTAAGGAACGTGGAGCTAGGATGGATTGAGAGAAGGTGTGGCACTTTTGGAAGCGTGTTTGAATCAGGTCGTTGGCAAAAGGAATGTGGAGGTAGTTGTAGTTGGTGACGTATTAAGAAGCAGAGACAATTTTTTTGAGAACTTTTGATTAAATTATTATTTGATTGATGGGCTGGATATTGGAGGCTTGGGGGAA